AAAAACGAGCACACTTTAAACAGCTTCTCTAATGAATATGTGATCATGAAGAATCTGTCAAAAAGGCTAGCCGGGCATTGTTCCACTCTGATGCTTCCAGAAGCAGGATGACTGATGGCCCTGAATTTAAAAACGCACACTGAGAGACGTGCTAAACTGAAGACACAAAGACGAGAGGTTTGACTTTCTGAAATATACAAAGATGTTAGTCTGAAAGGTAACAATTGAAATTCTAGTAAGTGTGAGTGTTCTCAATGTGGATAAAATATCGCAAATATCCAAATCATTCTAGAATACTCATGGAGAGAGAAGAAGTAAAAGGAAAAATAAAAAGACAAATAGATACATAAAGAAAGCTGAAAAGTTTAAAATATTTGGTAGCTTTAGGTGAATTCAGGGTTGTGGCAAGTTGCTATAAAACATGGATTGGAAAAACTTTCTACGAAGAATGAGATAGTAAATGTTTTAGGCTTTGCAGCTACTGCAAAAGACTTCTGTCTCAACTACAAACTCTCCTGCTGTAGTGAAAAAGTAGCCACAAACAATAGGTAATTTAACGGGATAGCTGTGTTCTAATAAAATTTTCTTTACAAAAAAAAAGTGGGGGCCAGATTTGGATTGCTGGCTGTAGTTTTCCAGCCCGTGCTATAAAACAAACAAGTTTGTGATAAACAGCAGAATAGATAAAAGCTAGTGTGTGTGTATGAGAGAGAGAGAGAGAGATCAATGATTGTTGAGTCAATAATTGTTGAAGTGACAGTAAGTTTTTATTGTATTTGGTCTAGTACTTACATGAGGGTATAACTGAGCACATAGATTAAGTCCAGGCATTAGTAGTATTTTCAGATTCTCTGGGTGATTTCAAGGTGCAGCCATATTTGGCACTCAGGGTGCTAAAAGAATGCTTCTCAAATTCCAGTGTGCACATTGATCACCCAGAGTCTTGTTAAAATGTAGATGGTCATTCTGTAGCTCTGGGGTGTGGCTTGAAATTTTGCATTGCTAGCAAGTTCTCAGTTTAGATCGATGCTGCTGGCCCACAGACCACACTTTGAGCAGCCAGATGCTAATGCTGGTTTTCAGTGCATGACGTGTCCAGATCCTGCCTCAGAGGCTTATGCATTTGGTCTGGGATGCCACCTGGACATTTAGATTTTCAAAACCTCTGCGGGTGATTCCAATGTGCAGCAAGGCTTGAGAAACGCTATGCCAAAGCTCATGATGATGTATCGAATTTAGTTATGTTATCAGGAGCCCTAATGTGTTGGCTTTTTCTCATTCTCCCACTAAGGCCCACCCAGCCATTCCCCTCCTTTTCAGCTCCAAACATCCAGATGAAGTTGGGGATCAGGGTGAGCACTTCATCCTGTTGCTCTTGTCCATCTCAGAAGAGTGGGAGGAAGTTCAGGATGAAAACAGGAGACTCAGGGAACCTGGGTTTGGGAAGAACAAGCACAGTGTTCTAGGAGTGAATTCAAGGAAAAGCTGGTTCAGATAGAAAGGGTGGGGGCTAGGAATACCACGGAAAGTTGTCACAGCACAACCTTCCTCCAGCCTTGGGCCTGCAGTGTGTTAGTAGAGGGACGGGGGAGCAATGAAAACAGCCATGTACCTTCCTGAGCCCTAGAGACACTCCACAACCAAACCAGCTTCTAAGGGTTTTTCCTTCTCAGTATGCAGGGAGACATGGTTAATAGACATGCAAGAGAGACCCCCTGTGGCAAAGTGTAGAAGTGAAGCATTTTCCCAAAGCATAAAGACCACAAAGAAACATAAGGGCAGAGGATGATGGCTTCCAGCCTATACTCTTTATCAAACAAATGCAGGGACAGAAAATCTAATACCACATGTTCTCACTTATAAGTGGGAGCTAAATGATGAGAATACATGGACTCAAAGAAGGGAACAACAGACACTGGGGCCTACCTGAGGGTGGAGAGTGGGAGGAGGGAGTGGACAAAAAACATCCCCAAAACTATTGGGTACAAGGCTTAGTACCTGGGTGATGAAATAAGTTATACAACAATCCTCCATGACAGCAGTTTACCTATATAGAAAACCCGCACTGGTATTCTCAAACCTCAATAAAAGTTATAAAAGAGTAGAGGATGATCGTGGTGATAATGGTGTTAAATCATGGGTACCATATATTGAACAGTGTGCCAGACATTGCTCTAAGTGATTTACATACATTAGCTCATTTAATCTCAATAATCCAATGGGGTAAATGCTTTTATTATCCCCATATTACATATGGAGAAACTGAGACACAGAAGAGTTAAACAACTTGCCCAAGTTTTCCCAAAATGAGTGGCTAAGATGGGATTTTAATCCAGGCAATCTGAGGTTAAGGAAACACTACACCAAATGTTCTCTCCTAAACAGGAAATTAAGAAGTCCTCTCAGTCAATTTAAAGTTTGAAACACTCAAAAATAGATGCTTGCTCTGTTCTTTCTCAAATCCACTGGAGAATAGTCAAGGGACATATATATTTCAATAGGTAATAGATGAAACAAAGTCAGAGAATTCAGAAGTCCTTACAGCAGGCAGAGAAAGAGATACAGAGACAAGACCAGGTTTGACCAAGATGTGTAAAGAGGCAATAGCATTTTCTGGAAGTTGAACTCAAAGTGCCAGAATCCTAATTTTTAAGGAAAGTGTGAAAGTCTAGTCACATGGAAATATGGAACATAATTACTGCACAGCTAAACTTGTTCATACCTTAATAAATGCTTACGTAGTTTGACTGTGTCCCCACCCAAATCTTATCTTGAATTGTACTTTCTTAACTCCCACGTCTTTTGGGAGGGACCCAGTGGGAGATAAGTGAATCATGAGGGCAGTTGCCCCTGTACTGTTCTACTGGTAGTGATTAAGTCTCACAAGATCTGATGGTCTTACAAGGGGAAACCCATTTTGCTTGACTCTCATTCTCTTCTCTTGTCTGCTGCCATGTGAGATGTGCTTGTCACTTTCCAGCATGATTGTGAGGCTTCCCCAGCCATGAGGAACTGTAAGTCCAATAAACCTCTTTCTTTTGTAAATTGCCGACTCTTGAATATGTCTTTATCAGCCCCATGAAAAACAGATTAATACAATGTGCAAAACAATCTGCTGTTAACACAATACTCAAAACAAATGATGCTAGCTACCCATGTGTCTTTGACTAAAGTATATAGTCTGTAAATTTTTGACTTTTACCTTTGTAACCTACAAAGGAAACATATTTTTTGTTTCTTGTTTCTTTGTAACTTTTTTTGTGTGGCACAGAAGATAGACGTTTGAAGTATTTTTACACAGACATGGACAACGTTAGGGTTTACATGGTTGGGGAATTCCTTTTGTCAAATAGACTGGACTGAGAGAGGAGAAGAGTTTTTAAAGGGGAAAGAGAAAAAAAAAACAACAGAGAAACAGGTGTATCAGTTCTGTATGGAATCTTCTTTTTACTAGGAAATAATATCTTTCTATCCATAGCCATGAAGAAAAGGTAAAAGGCAAGCTCTTCTCTATATCTTGAAAGGAGAAACCAGAGGCAACATTGAGCTTTTCAGGAAAAGGATGATTTTGAAATAAGCTTGGGGCAGACATTGGGAATAAGGTAATAAACTTGGGGCAGACAAAGGTCAAGGTGGAACCAGCAATTCTCTGGGTGTTCAAACTCCTCAACCAGCCTCTAAATGTTAGCTGTCCTGCACTTAGGACTGGATATGTCATACTCTACGTTATACGCCTTTCTGGTGAGCTCATCCAATCACATGACTTCAATACCATCTATAAAAGTCCCCCATATGTCTACTTCCAAACATGACATTTTTCCAGCTCCTTGATTCACATTTCCACTTGGATGTCTAATAAAAATCTGATTTTACATGGCATGCATTTCCTGCTTCTCCACCCCAGCGGACCCCTGCAAACATCCCCAGGGGGATTATAACACTGTCATTACCCCAGGTGCTCAAATCCAAACTTCAGAGCCTACATATGTTCTCCCTCTTCCACTCCTCACCTCCAGTCCATGAGCAAAGTTTGTCTCTCCTTGTCAAAAATCCATCTGGAACTTGTTTTCCTCTCTTCACTTCTGCAGCCACCATCACAGCTCAAGCTGCACTAGTCTCCCACCTAGACCAGGTACAATGACTCTACCTGGTCTACACTTTCAACTATGCCCCACCCGTCTACATTCTTCAAAGCAGACAGTCACTGCCTTGACATTTGGGGACATTTATTCTATTTTGTATACAATATCACAAATTTGGCCTTCAGCTTTGACCTTATGTTTTTCATTCCTTCTTTTGAGCTGTTTTTTTTTTTTTTTTTTTTTGTAAATCATCTTTAATGAAAGAAATGGTACGATGGAAGGAAAAACTATGAGTGGAGGAATCATAAGGGCAATATGCAGGAAATCGTCCCTTATCTGTGGGAAAGCTAGCCTAAGGCTCAGTCCTATTATCTCTGTCACTCACAGTGAGGTTACCAAAGAGGTACTCTGCCATACTGTTCTCCAGAGCCACCATCTTCCTGCCCAGAAGCAAGAATCCTTAGCACTTGCATATTTTAATAAGAAAACTTTTCATGTCAAGTTAAAGACTGTATTATTTTAATCCCTGCCCAATGTCATTCCCCTGCCTTCTTCTCCAGATGCAACAACTATGATGAATTCCATACCATGCTTTACACCTTACCATGCATATGCAGCCACAAATAGCATGGCCCAAGACTGCACACCTTACCCCACGTCACCCATCCCACCCATCTCACCCCACCTTACCCCACCTCACCCCATGCCCTCAGAGTTTATAAGGGGAAGCGGAATATGTTCTCCAGGGGCCCATAGAATACTTTTCCCCTTCAACCCCACAGATCCTGGGCTGCATGCAGATGGGGCAGAGATGGGTGTGGAGACTGCTGGATACCTACTTTAAACGTGCATGGGGATTTGCCGTGATTCCTAAAAGGTGAGAGTGTTGCAGGCACGCATCAACTGGACACCTTTATTGTTTTGAAAACAGATAACTTTATTACCAACAACGGTAAAACTGAGAGGAAAAAAACTGAAGAAAATGTTCTTAAAGGGCAACGTGCATGTCCTGTCTGGTGGCGAGATCCAGGGAAGGCATCCTGTGATTGTGGGGCCCGTCTGGGCTCAGGTCTCTTTCTCTCTCCTGCCCTGAGTGAGCCTGTCAAACAGCTACTCTGCCAGGCCAGGTTCCAGGGCCCACATCTTGCGCAGGTTGCTCAGGTAGGCACCCAGCTCTTTCATGGTCTTGGCCTGCTGGTTGAGGAAGCGGCTCTTCAGGAAGTCGCACAGCTGGGGGTCGTCCTTCACAAGGGCCAGCTGGTGCAGCTCCAGGAGGCTCTGGTTGATGCTCTTCTCCAGGTGGAAGGCGTACTCTATGGCCTCGAGCCTGCTCTCCCAGCCTTGGCGCTCTGTCTTACTGATGTCTTGAAGGGAGATGTGGCCACCGCGCAGGTTTTGCAGCCTCATCAGCTCCTGAGCGTGTTCCCTCTTCTCGTGTGACAGGCGCAAGAAGTAGCGGTCAGAGTGCTTCAGAGCCGCGCCGTCCCGGTCGAAGTAGAAGGCCATGGACAGGTACACGTAGGAGACGTGGAACTGCAGGTTGACGTGGATGTTGATGGCGGCCTCGCAGCTGGGGTGGTAGTTGTGTCGCACCTGCGACAGCGGGCCCAGGGTGGGCAGCGCGGGAGCGGGGAGCAGGCGGGGTAAAGCGGTGCGTTGGCGCTGGGCCCGGAGCGGGCAGCGGCGTCGGTATTTGCAGTGGCGGCGGCCTCGGAGCACCGCCATGATGGGCGACAGCGGCTGTCGGCGGAGGGCTGGCTCCTCCAGGCCAGGCAGTGGCCGTAGTCGCAGAGTCTGCAAGGGGAGCGGAAGTGGGCGCTGGGAACCGTTAGGAGGTGACAAGCGCGCGCCGTCGGGAGGGCGGGGGCGGTGCGGAGCAGCGCCCACCTTCAGAGTGGTGGTGGTGGAGGCACACGCTGACTTCCGTGGGCAGCCCAGGGAGTTGGGCACTGTCTGACCTCTGCGCGATGTCAATTCTTCAGTAACTTTTCTAGTGTCCAAGGACTTTCGCCTCTCTCCTGATTGTTCCCCTCTATGACAGGTTGTTCTCATTTTATACACCTCTTGTCTTTCTTAAACGCTAAGAATATTTTCTGGTAACGTTTTCTTCTGTTTCCTGTATTATATCCTTTTTTTCCTCCTCCAGAATTAGTTTTATTTGTGCATCATGATCTCTTCCTCACTTTCCTTAAATATCTGGAAAACGTTCGACCTTTCGTGATTGAAATCAAGGACTGGATTAGCCTAGGTAATGAGCTTGGATCTAATTCACACCTGTGTCTGGATTACCAATACGATTCTCCTGTGAACAGGAGGGTGGAATGTGTTAATTAGGGAGTGATCATATCCTTTGGAGATAAAGGTATAGAGCTCCCAGGTAGAGTAGGAACAATTCCAAACGCCCAAAGCATAGCATTTCTCTGCCATTGGAAGACTTAGTGGATCTATCTTCTAGGTAGATGTCAGCTTTCCTTTAAATGTTCATCCATATCTGCTGCACCCTGAAGCTTAATTCTCTCTGCAGGAGAGATTCCTCCACGTTATCGGGAATGTGATTTCAGATATGTTTGAGGATCAAAGCTTCAACACCACAGTGAAGACTCCATTTAAAAAATTTACTTTGAAAAGTCCTCTATGTTCATGGTTTTTGGGTACTCAGTCATCCCCATGTCTTCCCTGCTGAATTTAAAACCAATTAGTATACACAGGACTCAGCTCACTGAAGTACAAGCTTAGGTCTGTAGCAAAAGAACTTGCTAGTTCTTTTCAAATCTTCTAGTTAGAGAAACTCACTAAGGCAGATTGACTTCATCAAAGCTTATTTGTTTTCATCTTGTTCCACAAAGCAACCATGTTTTTCGAGCTACTCTTGTGATTTGATGAGATCATGTACTGATTTCTGGCTACTGGAATATGAAAATAACTGACGTATGCCCAAATAAGGCCACGTTTATAGGGCACACCCTGTGCACTCCATAACTAAAGTGAAGAAGATGAACAGACCCTAAAATATGACATATCTTCTGTGGAGAAGTAGCCTGGATCTTTGGATAACATATAGAGAACGTCCCCTCATCACTGTCACCACCAACTTGCACTGGACCTTGATAAAAACAAAACAAAACAAAAAAAACTTTTTAAAAGATAAAGAGATTTGGAACATTTGTTACAGGAGATATCCTCTTCTGACTAATCAAATTAGCTTGTCAAAGAAGGTACTGGATAACCACAGGCTGTACCCACAGGGTCCTGTAGGCTTATGGCGCTGGAGTGCATTCCAGAACACATTCTTTTGGTAGGAAGGCAGATGAGAAAAAGGGGAGTTTTATAGAGCTCTGGGTCATCACACTTTCTCCCTTTTGCTTAATGAACCAAATATATATATATATAATTATATTTATTATTATACATATCATAATTATATATAATATGTATGTATATGTATACAATCCTTCTCCTTTTTTTCCTTCTGGAGAGTGAAATTTAAAATCCCTCATTAGCCAGGCATGCCAGCTTATCTCTGTCATCTCAGCACTTTGGGAGGCCAAGGCAGGCAGATTGCTGGAGCCTGAGTTCAGGTTCAGCCTGGGCAACATGGTGAAACTCAGACGCTACAAAAAAAACACAAAGAAAAAAAATAGGCATGGTGGCACACATCTGTGGTTCCAGCTATTCCAGAAACTGAGGTGGGAGAATTGCCTGAGCCCAGGAAGTTGAGTCTGCAGTGAGCCATGATCCAAACCACTGCATTCCAGCCTGGGCGTCAGGAGTGAGAGATTGGGTCTCCAAAAGGAAAAGAAAAAAGAAAAGTTCCTCATGGACACTTGAAGATCAAGGAAAAAGGGTTTCCTCCTCCCCTGATGTCCTAGAACAAAATCAGGCTGATTCTTGGGTGCCTAACCTTAAGCCAGGAACACAAAGTGCAGGGGCAGAGATCACAACTGTCTGACCCCAGAGCCAGTAGGTTGTGGTGAGGAAGGTGGGACATGTAGCGACGCAACGCTCTCCTGGCACCACATACCTGGAGTCTGTGATTGTGTGGAGCAGTTCCCCAGAAAAGGGGAATGCTAGTTCCAGGACTGGTGGTGGGAGGCTAAGCAGGTGGTACCACATATAGTACCCTTCAGTCTTCCCTATTGAGTCGTGAGGTCTGTAGAGTTAGGAGGTTCCCATGTCTGTCTGTGTCTCCCACACCACACACCATGCAGGCGCTTAGCACATTCCATTCTTCTCCTTTGGAAAGGAATATAGTGAGGAAAAAGCAACAAAAGTGGGCTAGGAAAGCAAAGGAACAAATTGTTGGAGATATCTGTGGAAATGGAAGTGGCGTCAACTCCCAACTACAAATGTGAAATGCCTTGGGGCAGCATGGTGCATCAGTGCTCTGTGTGAAACGCATTGTTGAGGAGCATGGCCACAGTGAGCACTGGTTAATAAAGGTATCCAGGAAGCCAGTCTCAGCTCTGCTGCCAGAGAAGTAGATGATTTGGTATGTCCTAACCAGACTAGATGATTTCCAACGTTCTTGGGAATCCTCACAATTTTGAGAGGTAGGAATTGTTTTTTTTTTTTTTTTTTTTGAGAAAGAAAAAAAGAATAATAAGAAAAAGAATAAAGAAGAGGAAGAAAGAGAAAGAGGAAGAGGGAGAGAGAATGGGGTATTGCTTTATTGCCCGGGCTAGAATGCAGTCTAAATATGGGTATGCCTGTAATTGTCCTTAATAATGGAGACATGAAAGAAAATGAGGGAAGAGAATAACAAACAAGGAGCCAACCAACATTTCATTTAAACTTCTAAGTTGATATGATGTGGTACTGATAAGAGTGTATATTTTGTGCATTTAAAGTGGAGAGTTCTATAAATGTTAATTACATTTACTTGTTCCAGATCTGAGTTCAAGTCCTGGATATCGTTGTTAATTTTCTGTCTCATTGATCTGTCTAATACTAATGTTGAAGTCTCCCACTCTTATTGTGTGGGAGTCTAAGTCTCTTTATTAGTCTTGTATGTCTGAGTATTCCTGTTTTGGGTGCATATATATTTAGGATCTTTAGCTCTTCTTGTTGCATTGATCCTTTTATCATTATAGAATGTCTTTCTTTGCTTCTTTTGATCTTTGTTGCTTTAACGACTATTTTATCAGAGGCAAAAATTGTAACTTCTGCTTTTTATTTACTTATTTTAGCTCTCTGGTTGGTTGGTAAATCTTTCTCCATCCCTTGTTTCGAGTCTTTGTGTATCCTTGAATGTGAGATGGGTCTGGATGCAGCATACTGACGGGTTTTAGTTTTTTCTTCATTATATTGATGCTCTTTACTTATTGGTATTTTTTAGAAAGGCTGATACTGTTTGTTCCTTTCTATGTGTAGTGGTTGTTTCAGAAGCTCTTGTAAAGCAGGCCTGGTGGTGATGAAATCTCTGAGTGCTTGCTTGTTCACAAAAAACTTTATTTTTCCTTCACTTGTGAAGCTTAGTTTGGCTGGATGTGAAATTCTTGGTTGAAAGTTCTTTTTTAGGCGGGGCGCTGTGGCTCAAGCCTGTAATCCCAGCACTTTGGGAGGCCGAGGCGGATGGATCACGAGGTCAAGAGATCGAGACCATTCTGGTCAACATGGTGAAACCCCGTCTCTACTAAAAATACAAAAAATTAGCTGGGCATGGTGACGTGTGCCTATAATCCCAGCTACTCAGGAGGCTGAGGCAGGAGAATTGCCTGAATCCAGGAGGTGGAGGTTGCGGTGAGCTGAGATCATGCCATTGCACTCCAGCCTGGGTAACAAGAGCGAAACTCCGTCTCAAAAAAAAAAAAAAAAAAAAAGGAAATTCTTTTCTTTAAGGATGTTGAATATTGGTCCCCACTCTCTTCTGGCTTGTAGGGTTTCTGCTGAGAGGTCTGCTGTAAATCTGATAGGCTTCCCCTTGTGGGTAACAATTCCTTCCCCTTGAGAGGTAGGAATTTTTGTTATTGTACCCATTAGGAATCTGTGATCCTAAATATAAAGCCCTTGCCTAAGATGATACAGAAACAGATGTTTCCATTTTAGGGCTGATGCTCAACTATAACTGTGGGACCACTGTCATGTTTTCAATGAAATGCGGTGTAATTAGGTTGCTGGGTCATATAATATCTCATGTCCCCTCTCTGCTTTAGTGAGAACAAAAATATGTAGAGAGAAGCAGAAAAAAAAGCACAAACTACAGCCCTCTCTTGCCAAGTGTTCCTGGGGTAGCCCTTTCCTCTGGCAAGGTCAAGTTTCTCCTACGCAACTTCACAAAACAAGTACTCCTTGTTCAATTTGTATGTGAAAATGAGTTTAAGTAAATTATTTTTTTAAATTGTGAGGCTATGGTATAAGATAGAAGAAAGCTTCTCCTCAGGAGGCTGCCAAGCCTCTCTTCATAAATGGGATGAGGAGTTAAGGCTGATTTTTCAACACAAAACATGGGTGCTGTATTAGTCTGTTTTCATTGCTATAAAGGGATATCAGAGGCTGGGTAATTCATTAAAAAAGATGTTCAGTTGGCTCATGGTTCTGCAGACTGGACAAGGATGGCAACTGGCATCTGCTTGGCTTCTAGGGAGGCCTCAGGGACCTTTAACTCATGGCAGAAGACAAAGTGGCAGTAGGCATGTCATATGGCCAGGAAAGGAGCAAGAGAGGGTTGGGGGAGGCACCACACTTTATAACAATGAGATCTCATGAGAACTCACTCACTATTGCAA